TCAGCAAGTACAACTGCTCAAGAAGATCAGTACATGCTTCTTGTCGCCTTCGTATTGCGAATCGTTCAGCATTGAAGATTTTTGTTCGAAGTTGGTTTTTGATGTGTTGGTCATGATTAAATTCAATTTTAAAGCAGTGGAAGTTAACATAAAGGGACTCCCACTTTAGTGTCATAATTCCGTCCTTTCATTTTGTGCCGTAGGATTTTTTTTTAATGCTCCACTCTGTTTTCGTCTTCAAATTACTATGTAAATCGTCATCTTTGTGAGAAAAAAAGAACCCACTTGGTAACTGAATGGAATTGGTTAATATTTTGAAACCGATTTTCCTTTAACCTCGATGTGACTAATTAATATGTATTCTTTCTTTGATAAATTTACACATGACTGGTAAGTAATCCTTATTTTCGGCTAACGTTCCTACTCTTCGTCTTCATCAGAAGTGATGCTCAGAGTCGACGGTTTGATGAAGACGAAGACGTCGAAACGTTACCCGAGAATAAAGACTGTTTATCCATCTTGTGTAAGCTTGTCAAAGACGGAATGGATTAAATTGCTGCAAATGATCTATCTTTTCCTTAACTATGGGGCGCGTGTGGCGCAGTGGTCGGAGGTGCCCTGCAACACACACGTGGAATCGATCCTCGAACCCATGGTCCGCCAAGCTTTCCATCCCACTGGGGTCGGCAAATTGATACCAGACCTGTCTGGGAGGATAGCACCACTGGTTCGATACATCGGTAGGCTACCGCGAGTCATTGTAAAGGCCACATATGCATTCAATCACCTCCAACGGTATTTAATGAAGTCAAATGCATAGTCCATCCCCCAGAGATTGGTCAGCGTGGACAACATAGTGTTAGTTATGGTGATCATCACGAACACGGCGCTGGTTTCACCTCGCACCGTGGTCGCTAAGCCTTTCATCCCTTCGGAGTCGGGAAATTGATACCGGACTTGTCCGAGAAAAAATCACTCTCTGCAATCCAAATGAGAACGCCCTAGCCCGTCCCTAGTATTTGCCTCAAGACTCTAGGGAGAATTGTCTCGATCAGTATTCTACGGCATTCAAGATGAAGTGAAATTCCTCAAGCACCAAAATCTACACATAAAAAGTTGGAAGACCTTAGTGGATGATAGATCCGAGGAAACGAATGGAATGTAAGAAGTGCTGTTATCCGCACAGTAGATGTGAAAGACGGCTCATATAAGATAAAGTAACAGGAAAGTTTAGGTTTTTCACATTGTCCCTAGAACGGTTTTCGCAATTTTTAACTAGAAGTGTTATCAAACCTGTACTTCCACGTTACCACTCTACCAACATCTGCGGTTATATAGAAGTTGGGAGATTAGCAAATATCTTTATGCTACGTATCTCGTTATAAAAAAATTGTGTAGCCCTGACAGTCTAGTTAAGTTTTCCTGAAGAACTTCTTTCATCATTGTTTTGTGTTGCTGGTTCAAACTCGTCCTCAGCCAGCTAAGCCTTTCACTTCTCCGCTGTTGGTGGATTTGTAGTAGATTCTTGTCTGGGAAACGCTCGATCCAATTTACAACGGCAGACAATTCCCTATTGTGAGAACGTGAAAATGTCCTAACCCAGCTCATCCCATCATTACAAAAAGAACGAACTCGAACAGAATTCAACGGCATTTACAAGGAAGATAAAATCCTCGAGTATCAGTGGAATTCATTCGCAAATCCGAAGACCTCTATGGATGTCAGACGCGAGAAAACGAGTCGAATGCAGTGCTGTGATAAGCGCGATACATTGTATGTCATGTAGAAGAATCTGTCTTTTGGGTCCGAACACTTTTCTATCAGATCAGCTTATCCGACGTTATGTTAGCTGAACTAGCTTCTGTATGATCATCGTTGTATTTGAAATAGTAAAATCTGTTTCAGTAGAACAATCATTGTAAAGTTTGCTTCAAATCGTAGATCATCAAGAACGAGTTTGCACGAACACGCACGTATAGTTACTATCCATCATCTATGCATAATAAATGGAATGCCAAAACGAGAAGTCCATTAGGAAGATTGAGTAGTCTGCCACTTTGTTCTCTATTTACCAGTGGATATTTGGTGACAATTTGGTTTCTAAAAACCAACTTTCACTTGAACTCGACAAATATTCAACGCTTTCTTGGATTCATTACTTTCTTGAATCATTGAAATCTAAACCAGTTTAGTAAATAGCTTTGCTGGGCTAACGTTTCGACGTCTTCCTCTTCTTCTTCGTGGCAGGATTATTCCTCAAGTCTGCAGTTCATAAGCATCGTCCTCGCAATGTTGTTCGTTGTCGCACCGTGTCGGATCTAGTGAAACCTTATCCCAACTTTTTTTATTTATATGGCACGAATTTTTTCCGCTCGAGTAGATTTTGTCTCGAACCATGGTATAGCTCTAGCTGAGAGTTATTAGGTCTGCACCGCAGCCATTCGTCAGATTTTATGGATCGAAACGAGCTTTTCTTAGAGAGATTTCACTTTTAACTGAGGGCAGTAAAAAGAGAGCCTTTAAGCACCAAACCTATCGAACTGCACCGGTTTTTTGTGCTGCTTCAACACTTCATAACCATCTTTCTTCTATTTTTTTAAATATTTCATCTCTTATGTATTCTTTCTTTGATTAGCTTACACGAGGTTGGTAATGATGTTTATTTTCGGCTAACGTTTCGACGTCTTCGTCTTCCTCAGAGCCGATGAACCGAGTCGATGGTCCTCGCTTGTTATTCGTCTCGACGTGGCAGCTTCGCCTTCGTGTCGAGTCAGGTCTTCTTCAGTGAGCCATCTTGAGAATGAGGCATCCTTACTCAGTGATGATGTGACTTTCGAAATATTTCATCTCTTATTCAACTTTTCTTTTCCACTTTCATCTTGCTTTACTAATTACATATGTATCGTTTCTCTTCCCCCGTCGACACTAGCCTGTTTAAGAGTCCATGGGAAAAAATGAAAACAGTATGAGTTGTCAAAATATGGGATAAAAATAAAGTTGTTAGAGCACTCAGACGTCATGTGAAAAGTTAGACTGCATTCGTATGGAAACGGCCTTCATCAACAGTGACTCTTTCATTGCTCATTTGTGATTTTCAAGTAAGAATCTCCGAAAAAACCTTCAATGATTATTTTGTGAACTTTCCAATCATGTTATATGAACTATGCTTGCTATTTGGCAGTGTTTTTCTGTATTGATTACCTCGAGAGTTCTCTAGAACCTTCCTAATGGTTGCTATAAAAACAAGCCATATGGTGGGTATTCTAGTTGGTAATGATACCTCTTAATCAAATCAACTCTACGACCTACCATTTACTATAACTCGTGCTAAAAACTTCACTGGATCCGCTTTCGAGAACATATGTGCTTAAGTAAAGACCGATGTTATTCAAAATTCCACCGAATAATGATGGTTCTAATGCTCTCGCGACGACGCCTAATCTCGGTTTTGCTGCGACCTGGCCGATTCCTAATCTTCAGCCTTTATAGACTTGCTGGCTTTTTGACAATAAACAGTAGGTCATCGATAATTGAAGGGCTTTATGGAATGTGAACATAAGTGGATTGTACAAAAGACTTTGTTCTATTGTTATATGAATATGAATGATATTTATGGTGCTGTCTACTATGGTAGAATATCTATTTGGCTCATTACCTTAGGTCCATCATCCAAGATGATATTGGGTGGTTCCAACCATGGCTTCATATTTAGTCTTCTTCATGACTGCTAGACTAGTATCGTTCTGATCTTTATAACAGTGAATGGCCTTCGTAGATAGTATGAAGCTTTCTCCAAGCATATCTCGCGCCAATCGGCTGACCTTATTAGGATGAGATGCTTACCTAGCCCGATTTAGGATCGAACCAGAGACCACGTACATATTTCATGGCATCTCGCATTAGTTAGCGGTCCCGTGATACACTTGGTTTTTATTGCAACTTTAACCATGTAAATAAATAAATTGATGCCTTCTATAAAAAACTGTGATGGTCTTTAGATATACAAACAAATCGATTCCCTAAATAACAGATTTTTTTGTTTTATAGCAGAAAGGAATTCGTTACAGTTCTCATTTCGATTATTTTCACTTCATCTCTTTTATACTCATTCTTCATACTCACTGTCTTTCCATTCTTGTCTTGTGTTCGCCTTTCTTCCACCAGTTCGATATTTTACGGTGAATTGACACCTTTACTTTCCAGAAAGATTGCATGTACAGATATCAGTTTGTCTCACTCTCTTCTCACGTGGCTCAACCAACCAACCAACCAACCAACCAACCAACCGACCAGGCTTTGTCGCACATGTTTCTTTTTCTTTTCTCTTCTTTTATTTATTTTCTAATGAAGAAAAGTTGATGAAGTAGGACAAAAAAGAAGTTTTCACCCGGTGGCTATCAATAGCTTTTGAAGTGAACTCGAAAAAAAAGCGCTATAATGTTCGTAGTCATCAGTTTTTTTCATAATTAGTCCGTTCGATTGAAACAAATGCAAAAGATTTTACTGTAGTAAACGTTACTTGTAATCACGAACAACGTCACGACACAAAACGATAGGGCAGTTAAAGCAGAGTGGTTAGAGGTGCTCCTAAACACACGCGTGGTGTTCGGTTCGATCTCCCGCTTCGAACAAAGCAAGCCCGACTAATTGGTACCGGCCGGAGTTGTCCGAGAAAAAAACACTGACCTCACTCATCCGTATCTTCTCATGAGCCATTGCGTAGGCCAAGTATGCGTTCAACGTCACCTTTACAATGCCATGAATGGAATCGAATACATAGTGTGTTGGTGGATGATTAATCAACGTTGAACCTCTTATTCTATTCCTTTTATCCATGTCGTACGATGCTTCTCTTGTCGTCATTCTTCTTCCTGTTCTTTTTTCTAGTTTTTTTTTCTTATCACTCACTATTTTCCCTTCTCGTATCCTGTGTTATCTGTCGCCATTTCGTGTTTTCCGACTTTTTCTCTTCTTCCTCATTTTTCTTGCCGATTTTCAGCGTCGTCGATGTACCCGTGATGCTGTTCACTGGCACGCTCCGAGTGCGGGTTCTTGAGGCTCGAGGTCTTCGACCAACTGAATGGTCCCGTCGATTCAGTCAGAACGAAACGGTAACCGCTTTTCGGTGTCTTTTTTAAGTGATATTGCACTTTATTTTAGATTTTAGGACGGACTTTCTGTAGTTTTATGCCAAATAAACGGACGTAGAGCTTGATTTCCTGTCGAAGCTCACTACCCCATATCGAATCGTGTGAAAGCGCTACGGTTGTTTTCCTCGAATGCGTTGTCCGGAAATTGCTTCCCGCCTTTTTTTCTCTACACATATGTGTCCACAGAATACAATCATTCATCTGATGTGTTGATGCTGTTCCTCCTTTCAAAAATCAAAATCAACACAGCAAATGAAAAAATAGGTTTAATTGGTTCACAGAAGGACAAGAAGACGGGGAACTCAAAATTTTCCGAGGAAAAAAGAACGAGGGAATCAACTGAAAGCCGTAAAATACGAGAGAATCTTAAAGATTGTAGATGAACTTCGAATCTCGAACCTATTAGATCTTCGGTAACATTAGTTTATTTGAAAATGTGGTAAGATCACATCTAAAAGCAATGATTGCTGGATAATGAGGAGATCAGGGAGTGCAAAATGCTCCGTATCAATCGATAACTAAACTTTTCTGCTTGACATATTGATTACAATAGTGAGTAGTCAATAACTTTCCTATTATGTGCACCAAAAGCCGTATGAACAGCAGAGGCAGACGGATAGAGAAGTGTTATCCTCTACATCTCTGACCCTTTCCTACCCTTTTTTTTCTGCGCGATGTTCCATTGACAGTTATTGGTTTTTTGTTGGTTCCCTAGCGATCAGTAGAACGTACATCAAACTTCAGTCCCATATGTTTCGTATTTATATTTATTTCTATGAATATCTAGATGGCGCAGTGGTCGGAGGCGCTCTGCAACACACACGTGGAATCGGTCCCCGTACCCATGACCCACCATGCCTTCCATACCTCCAGGGTCGGCAAATTGGTACCAGATTTGTCTGGGAGGATAGCAGTACTGGCTCGATACATTGGTAGGCCACCGCGAGTCATTGTAAAGGCCAGATATGGGCTCATTCAGATCCAAACGATATTTGATGAAGTCGAATGCATGGCTTATCCCTCAGGGATTGCTCAACGCCGAGAGCTTTAGAGCTTTAGATTCTTATGAATATCTTGTACAACTATAATTTTAGGTGTAGGATGCCCTCAGTACTTTTGGATACCTGCAAAAATGAAACGAAGCCATATTTGTACATCTCAATATTTTTTGTATTCTTCAATATTCTATTGACATAATTCGCTATCTTCTTGATAAGCACACAAGAGGTTGCTACTATATTAAATATTTGCAAAAGCTGACGTTTCCGCAGATTTCTCCTTCTTCAGACCCTGAAAAGGTCAAGTTATACCCAACCAACCTAGTCAGCCAAACACCTCCATAACCCCAACACGAGAGACCACGACACCTAGATTTCAACTGCTTTGAAAAAGAAACACCTTATTGACTTTTTATTTACTGCCTACTACATCTTTTCACGCAGGGTATTATGTGGAATATAACCAGAACGATGCTGAGATATTTGCAAAACTCCGGACCGCAGGTGTCTGAGGTGTCGATCGAACATGCTGTTAACCTTTCCGGGGGCTAAGGGGTTCACTACTACACCATATACTGCAGTCTGGAGGTTTGTAAATATCTCAGCTTCTTCTTAAGCTGACGCGAGGTTGGTACAAGTCTTCGTTGTCATTGTTGTTGATGTTGTTGGTCGATGGCCGACGTTTCGGCGACTTCGCCTTCCTCAGAGCCGTGATGTTAGGTGTGGGACCCACTGAGGACACGGCTCGGGGGAAGCCGAAGTCGCCGAAACGTCGGCCATCGACCAACAACATCAACAACAACGACAACAACAACGTAGACCTATACCAACCTCGCGTCAGATTAAGAAGATCAGTTTATAAGATCATATAAATAAATATATTAACTATCTATGCCGAGGTTTATAGAAAGTCGTTCTTTCGAGTTATCTCAGTTTCATTGTGGTTGCATTTCACAAAACACCACACTTTCGCTGGTTCTTCCACATAGTATTCCACGTTGGAGATCAACCTCCCAGAGTCACATGGATATGGGTAATGTGCCTCTCACATTAAAATAACAATCTTAAACGCCTTCGGATATCACGCGCGTTTACTAAAGATTCCTCCGTGCAGTTCATTTTCGGGTTTTTGGACTGTATCCAGAATGCTTCGAAAGTTTTGCACTCCGGTGTTTTTGATTCCTGTTCAAGGATGGGCACATCTACTTCAAAATCCTCCCCGTTATGTTTCTTTGTTCTATGCGCGTCCAGGGAGCGTGTGGCGCAGTGGTTTGAGACACCATTGAGACCCATACGTGGAATCGACCCCCGTGCCCATAGCCCACCAAGCCCTCAATCCCTCCGGGGTCGGCAAATTGGTACTAGATTTGTCTGGGAGGATAGCAGCACTGGCTCAATACATCAGTAGGCCACCGCGAGTCTTTGTAAAGGTGAGATATGCATTCAGTCACCTCCAACGATACTTAATGAAGTCGAACGTATGGCGCTTCCATCAGGGATTGACCGACGCTGAGAGCTTTATCCTTTATCCTTCATGCGCGCCTAGTGGAGTTCTTGGTACAACGTTAAGTTTACCATCTAGGTGTTCTTTTATACAGACACAGAGTGGCCTACCCGTTACACCAACGTATTGGACCTTAGTCCCTCTACAAGCGCCTAAACCTACGGAATCACCGTTTGTACCGTTAGGACATATACAAATTTCCGTTATGCATCATGTTATGATGGTCATCTAGGCGGTCTTGAGGTATTCAATGGTATTCCAATCGCTGCTACCGGTTTCTCTAAACCGGCTATTTTTAAGTAACGTCTTATAGCAGTGCTTATTTCGTTCGAAACGAAATGCAGGATAAAAGGCCCAAGCGGTCATATCGTACCCTACCATGGAATCAGAATAGGCGCTAAATGAAAGTGAAGACATTGTGATTTCGACTAGAGCTTCAGCTAAACTGGGTTCAATGCCGATTTGTGCTTCCCAGTTCATTCCCATTGATGGTTGATTGCTGATGGCACCGTTAGGGCAAAAAACCGGCTGAGAGGAAGGCAAAGCTGAGGTCGTAGTAGTGCAGTGGATAACGTGTGAGCTACCGCAAAATGTATTGGCGTGTTCGAATATGGCCTTGGGTCCAATTTATGCAAATATCTTAGCATCATAATGGTAGTCGACATAGTCCACTTTCCTATGTCAGTCACAAATGATGCAGGAAACAAATCGCTTTGACAGCTCAGAACCCATTTTACAACGATGGTTTTTTACCCCAGAAATTAGGTGTCAACCGTCTGTTCGGTCTTTTAACTTACCTGCTTAACTGGGCCTTTTTTAAATCCACTTTTCTTTTTTTACGTGTGGCTCTTTCAAAAGCTCTTAAGCAGTAGATCTGCTTCAGTTAACGTCTTCAGGTAGTAATTTGTGATGGCAGTGGGTCTTGGCATTTTGATGAGTTTCTATTTGTGGATGGATATGAAAAATTGCTCAACGTCTGCCTTTGCACTTTTATTTCGTAGAGCTAAATTAAGCCGAAGGTACTACATATACAAAATCACTGGACGAAGGTTTAAAGTGAGATCTGCGATTTAACATTGTTTACCGTATGAACACAAAGGATAAATCCCTTAACTAAACCCTGAGTGTTACAGTTTGAAAAGACAAAACCTTCTTAACTTTTTATTTACTGCATACTACTACTTTTCATGGAAGAGTATTGTGTGTGATATAACTACAATGATGCCGAGAGATGTGCAAAACTCCGGATCGCAGGTATCTGCGGTGAAGATCGAACACGCTATTACTCTTTCCGCGGACTTACGCGTCCACCACCATACCGTGCGGGCTATTCATTTCGCCTATCTCAGCTAGTTTTCTATCTACCATTGCCATCAGCAATCACCAAACAACCTCAGAACTTTAATTTTCAACCGAAACACTATTGTTCCGAAGTTCCTTAGAGTGTAGTTTACCTATGATTCTCCTAGCAACGATTTTTATGCCTTTATGAGTAGTTGATAAATGCAGACCCTTAAACCGCACATTGTGAAAGCTTTCATTCGTTTCCCCTGATGACGGGCCACGTTTCCCCAAGTAGTCTACTCTTCAGTGGTGCAATTCTTACTAGTACTGTCTTCATTTGATTTCTCACACTTTCTTTTGTTTTCAGGCCGCATTAGATGCGTATGTGAACGTGGACTGGGACGAGTATCATGTCGGCAAAACGCAAGTTCGGCCGAAAACCAACGAACCCCGCTGGAACGAGGAGTTCAGCGCGGTATGTCGTACTAGGGCCGTTGAAAATGGGACTTTTTGTAGTGCTTTTTATAGAAATAGTCAGTCGAAATCAAATAACGATGGGTCATTTTTCTTTATCAGGTCAGGGTTTCTCGTTTATGCTTATTCCTTACCAACTCCCTTTCACCGTGTGACAATTTCGGCTTATACTGGCACATACGTCTAGTAAGTCAAATGGTTTTCCCTGCCAATGTCTTTTTCGAACCGCTTAGAATAGATCTAGTTATTTCGCCAAGGGCTCCCTTGACCTTAAAGTCTTGTTTATTCCAAATTATCTTACGGTCCTAAAAGGGTCGTCCTAAGGTGTTAAAAGCTTTTCTTTTGTCGAATACTGAACACTGTTTGGTTACCTGGATCCTATCATCAGTTTTCATTCCACCTCACGTCTTCGTCAACACACAATAACCAGTCGAGCGAAGACGATATTTTTAAGCGGAGAAACCTTTCTGTTCTCATTTTCCTCTTGATTTTCTCTCTCTTTTGTGTTACTAGACGTATCAGGAATTCCCGAGACCTTAACTGTAGGTAGTTTCTAACCACTGTGGATACAAAGTCTTGCTACCTTGCAGATAAGTTTTCTCTGCAGCTGATTGACGTTCATGAAATAGGGTTATTGATTGCTGAAATTCGTTTTGTCAAGCTACCGAACTTGTCCACAGCTGAAGTGGATGTTGTGCTTTACCAGTAAGTGGTTAGCATAGGTGGCACAGTTACACTTCCATCACCGAGCTGTCTTCACAGTGACATGGAACTTCTCAGAACGGCTTCGGTAACGTATGCGTTCTCTCTCTCTCTCTCTCTCTCTCTCTCTCTGCTTTATTCCAACCTTTTTCGATTACGCCTTCATGATGTTTTCATTATCGGATTCGGTATAAATGCGGTAGTTTGGTTTTCTATGCATTTCTTAAGGACGCGTGTAACACAGTGATTGGAGGAGCCATGCAATACACATGGGGTCGATCCCGCGCCCAATGCTCAGCAAGCCTTCCATTCCTTAGGCGTCGGCAAATTGGTGCCAGACTTGTCTGGGAGTACAGCAACACAAGCTCGATACATCGGTAGGCCACCGCGAGTTGTTTTAAAGGCCAGATATGCATTTAGTCACTGCCAATGATGCTTAATGATATCGAATGCATGGCACATCGCTCAGGGATTGATCAACGCCGATAGCTTAATCCTTTTTAGTTTTGTGCATTTCCTAAGGTCCAGGCTTTTTCCAAGAAACTTTATTGCTTTAATAATTTTTGTTCTTTTTCCAGAATGACGTGCACTCTGGTCGCGCCATCGGCTTCACAGTGTTTCATAACTGTGTGATGCCACCCGACGATTTTGTGGCGAACACTAGGATAACATTCGACGATCTCAAAATAGGAAGCACTAATGACATTTGGGTTAGTCATAGAGTTTTTACTTATAATTTGCTTTCAAATGCTCCATGTTAGGTCTTATCTTTTCAAATCAGGTTTCTTTGGGTTTATTTCGACGTGCTTCGTTCTATTGGTTTCTCATTATCTGATTCATCAAAACATTGCTTATTGTTTCTCTATTTCTTTACAGGTTGTCTGACAGTGGAAAATTTAACAAAAATTTCGTTTTTAAACCTTGTAGTAGTGTTATAAAATTGCCATTTGTATCCCTTTTGGAAATCTGGCACATTTTTCATGAAGTAAAAATTTCTATTGGTGGGGACTCCACTGGAACCTTATCTTTCTATTGGAGAAAATTCCCTCCATTTCTCACCAGACCCACGTAGTTTCCATTTTAGCATACTGGCCGTGAATGTGCTAAACGTCTACATGGGTCTGGTCAGAAGTGGAGGGATAACATAAGTTTCCATTGGAGTCACCACCGATAGCGATTACCACAATTTTGAGCTTTAACTCTGTAGACATTGGAAAGATTCTGAATTTTCATGAGAGTGAAGAATCGGGATTAGGTGGACTACATTTTAAATCGTTGAAAACTTCTGCAGGCAAACTCTCTAACACTAATTTGAGGAGGTCTTCTTTGTGGTTTTTCCCCACAGATCTGACATTGTTTAACTGCGAGTTGGTTTTTCGGCTGTTTAGTTCATATGACTTCTTTTCTGTTCTCTGCATCGCCTGAAGGACCATCGAGTCAATTACTTTTTTTATAGCGCCCTTCTCTTGGCGTTTGAAGTTAAATGCAGAATCTAATATTTCATAGTGTTAGCTTCAGAGCTTGTATGTTTAACTTGCCTACCAAATTCTTTGGAGCATCAAAAGTATGAATTTTACAGCTAAAAGTTTTTGAGAACTTAAGATAAATAACTACAAGAATGCTCAGATATGAGCAAAACTCGGAACCGGGCTTGGACTTCAGACCCGCGATGACCCTTACTTGGGGCTCAGGTGCTATTCTTTACCCCAACCGAGGTCTTTGATTTATCTTTCTGTCAGCTATGTTTTTACTCCATTGGTGCAATCAACAGGCACCCATTAACGGGGTTGGTGTGAGAACCACAAACCGGCAGTGAATCTAGTTATGGTGAAGCTATAGTCAAAATCGCAACAGTTTCACTTTTCATTCAATTCATTCAATATGATTGCTAATACCACTGATGGAGTAAAAACATGGTTGAAAAAGCCAAGGAAGGCTTCTTTGGTGCAGTTGGTAACACGTGGACCCCCGGGAAGCGGTAGTGGCGGCTTCGGAGCGCTGCTGAGGTTCCGAGTTTTACTGAAATGTCGTCATCCTTGTGAGTGTACTTCACATCACGGCCCTGCCATGGGAAAAGAACAGTCGTTAAATAAAAGATTATAACTAAGCTAAATAGTTGATTTAGCTTGTTTCGTCAGAGGTTCAGTCGCTTGTTACATCGCCCGGGATGGATTGACTAATTGCTGGAATCCCCACCGTCTATGAGGATCTTATTCACAAAGCGACAACTTCTCTGTAGTTTACAAGGAGTACCAAATGGTCATAGTTATAACCTGGGAATGGACTGGAACGTGTATCTCGAAGGATTGCAGTATTCCACGTTTTTAGTGGGAGAAAAGGACATGATCTATAAGGGATGGTTACAATATAACGGAACAAATAGTATGATTGTCTTTATGACATATGAGTATAGACGGTCTAAGTATCTAAGTAACACGAATAATTGAAAGCAACAAATTAGTTAAATGAATAAAGAAATGAACTACATCGGATTTATGGTAAGTGGGGCGCGTGTGGCGCAGTGGTCGGAGGCGCCCTGCAGCACACACATGGGATCGATCCCCTCGCCTGTGGCCTACCAAGCCTTCCATCCCTCCGTGGTCGGCAGATTGCTGTCAAACTTGTCTGAGAGGATAGCAGCACTGCTCGATGCATCGGTAGGCTACCGCAAGTCGTTATAAAGGCCAAATATTATGCATTTAATCACCTCTAATGATGCTTAATGAAATTGAATGCATGGTGCATCCCTCAGGGATTGATCAACGCCGACAGTTTTATCCTTTATCCTTTTATGGTAAATGAGTCTCACAATTTATGATTAACTCTAATTTAATGTTCATAGAGGTACTTTACCTGGAAATACACCCTCGCATTTTTGATTTTTAGGTAGACCTTGAACCACACGGGCAACTTCATGTGGTAATTGAACTGCACGGCTCGGCTGTTGAAGGTGAGAGTTGAGTTTGAGAACTGCCAAGTATTACTGGTTTATCATCTTGTTCTGCCCATGATATCAAATTTCTGTGATAAGATTATATTGGAAAATTTTGTAACTGCCATTTGAGATTATCATTCCTCATATTATCGGAGACATTTTAGGTTTAGGTCTCATCTGTTATAAACAATTAATCGCGGTTGATTGAAACTAAGGATCCATGTGATCTAAAAGGAAACATGAATTTTTTAAGGAAAAAATTGACTTAGGGGTCTATGCACTCTCTTTGAGAATCTTCCTTTACGAATTGTTTCCATTGCGACACAACCTTTTTTTCTTTGAAGTTTATTTGTCACACATGTCTTTCGCCGTTTATGGTTTCTTTCAATCATGATATTAATAGATCGACGCATCCTAGTCGTCAGTTGACACTTTACGGATGTAATTGTGTGGACTTTGGGATGTGGATGAGGGTTGATCTTTCTATGTCTGGTTTGAATGTGATCGTAATCGAAGTCTGAAACTTGGCTCTAAAGACGACTTCAAGTGGATTAAGAGCTAAGTTTGAAATACGGTTGTTTTTCCCAATACTTTGTCAGATATGTTCTGAGACTCGAGTATACCAAAATTTGCCCGGCTGCCGAAGTGTAAACATCAAAGGAATTCAGAAACTATTCGTATTCCACTTAATCCTAGCTGTTATCGAAATGTTCAACATTTTCCAGTAAGTTGAAAATAAACTGCTTGATTATACGCCGGAACCCGGAAAGGGTAATCGTGGCTTGATCTGGCTCAGAATCCAAGTGTTGCGAATATCTCCGCATCGTTGTGGTTAAACTGTTTGACTTTGGAGTCTTCGGTCGTGAAGGATTCATCCTTCAAATCCTTACGGGCTTGCACAATCGATTTTGACAATTTTGTTTTCTTTTATTTTTTGTTATAATCCGTTTTAAGTGTATGTTCCTACACTTTGAACAATGAAATATTTCTAGTTACTGTACATCACTTTATTCGCACTGATTCATTAGTACAGTAGCAAAATTTACGGAGTTCTTGTTCATAAACACATATCGATTGATTTCCGTACGAGTTCACACGGTTGAGTTTTCCGCTAACGTCGAAGGTTCCTGTACTACCGTTATACTTCAGAAGAGCTTCGAATATTCCTTTGGAGGGTTTGGCTTCTACGGTTAGCCGATAGTATTGATTCGTCGTCACCAGGTCTTCATTTGCAATCACTTCAGCTTGAATAATCTTCGAAAGTACCAATTGGGCACAAACTTCAAATGATTTCAACAGGCAGTTCAAATGGTCAATGACTTTGTTGGCTAGTTGCTGAATCTGTAATTTGATCGATCGCACTTCTAGTATATTGGTTATTTGAAAATATGACATCATAACCTAATCTAAACACGATCAACGCTTACTAAAACATTCTCAGTGTCCACTGACGTTTCCACGTAGCACCTGCAAAACTCGTACGGAATTCCTGCTTCTTTGCAGTTTCGATCCTGAAGTGAATCATTCCGGACTACTTTCTTACTTTTAGATCCTTAACGTTTATTTGTACGTAATCTTTAAAATGACCACTTCTTTGAAGATTTCAAGATGCACTTTGTAATTTCGAGAACCTGATGGTGGAGGGTGGGATTCCTGTTGAAATAGTCACATTAAAGAGATTTCAGTGTTGACTCTTCTTTTAAATTGTTTTCAAAGTTATTTAGTTTTATTCCCCAAGTTTTTGTCAGGTTCAAGGGTTATACCTAATGAAGAAAAAATATGGAAAAGAGTGGTAACTGAAGGCAACATGATGTTTTAAATTGAAGAAACTGTGAGCATAGAACAGGAATAAAAAAATATTAAGAACCTCGATAGGTCTAAGGAGACTTAGACCTCTTCTTGAATATGAAGCATTGATCTGTGCGATCTTATGGCCATTAAATTCTTCCCATCTATCACTTTGGCCAAGGTCAAGGATATCGCGCATCGTAACGTAGAAATCCCAAAAAGACGTCAGGACCTGAATGTTAAGCATTTTAAGTACGTAGTAAAAGTCGATGAGCGAGAGATGTGTGCTTTGCCAGAAGTATTATTTCCAGTCACGGTAATTAGAAATGCAAGAACACCTAGTAGACAATAAACATACGGGACTAAGCTAAATTTTTCGCCACACGCTGCTCATATCAAAGAATTGTCGGGGAAACATTTTACTTTCTAACTCGACCGACAAGACCGACTTTCTATAAACTTTGGCATAAATAGTTAATATATTTATTTATACGTTCTTATAAAAGGCCGCGTGTGGTGCAGTGGTCGGAGGTGCCCTGCAACACACACGGCCTTTTATAAGAACGTGGAATCGATCCTCGAACCCATGGTCCGCCAAGCCTTCCAATGGGACTCTATACCCTTTATGTTTCTTTGGCAAAAGTAAGTCCCAGTTGTGACAGCGCGGCTCTAAGGAAGGCGAAATTGATGAAAAGTCAGCCATCGACCAACAACAACAGCGACAACTATACCAACATCGCATCGGCTCAACAAAATCAGTTCATAAAAACACATAAATAAATGTATATTTTCTTTTTTAAATTACGTTATGGGAGATAATTCTTCGCAGACTACTTTTACACGTTATTTGTATTCGACAGATTATCGATGGAACACGAAAATTTGACAAATGCATGCTCTGTGATAAAATAAACGGGAAAGATACCCATTAATATCAGTGCATATGGTCAATCATTTGCTAACACACAACGAGATCTAAATGACTCACGCATCAACGCACAAAACCGAGATGAGTCAAATAGAACTCATTTACTTTTTAACTGTTTATTTTTATAGTCGCATAGAGCTTTTCTGCTCTAATTTTTGTAACGATTCGATAGATTAGCCAATATAGATGCTATATCAAGAGTGGGTAATGAAAAGCTCTTCTATTCATTCAATAATATACGAAAGCCTTTTCTCGAACAAGTTCATTAACCGATGATTTGATTGGTAGTTAAATTACTCCAGTTCCTTTTGCTGTAATAAGTCATGGTTATCATATAGAGTGAAAGGGTATAGAAAATTCAGGATTGACCTCAATAGAGACTGCAAAACACTGTCAAACGCACGCAGCAGTAAGGTTAAAACGTAGAAGAGCGAACATTCCATGTATAACTATTGTAGAGCGATAGAGCAAAGCTTCTTCTATCATTTTGCAATGTTCTCAACTCCTTAGTTGCCTAGTTGTCTACACATCGTAGTCTGTTGTCGAACAAGCTGCAAGCTTGCGAAGACATAGAATTACCCATCGTCCCATTCGCCCGATACCCAAAACTAGATGTCGGCACCAATGCTTAAAAATATAGAGGAACTGAGCAAATCGAACCATTGAGGACTGAGGAAGAATGGTCTGCTTAAAATTATTTGTAATTATTTTCATACAAATCTTGACTCAAATCTATATTCGGCCACTTTCGTACAGTTTTCCCAGGTCCTATTATGTGAATGGAAGTCTGCACACAAAAAATTATTGGTGTTGTTCATGGACTGTTATAGTAATGAACTATGGCGCAGATGTAATTATCACTAGTCCAATGAGGTTACTACTAATAATATTAAACGACTGCTTTATTCTTGCTACCGATAGCCTAATAAATTATGTTGCTAGCTCTTATATTAGTGAAACTAGCATTGTACAGTACGTCCGGTCTACCGTAAATAGTTTTTGATACCTCATTCGAAAGAGAAACTTACGTTTTTTATACCACCATACCTGCGTGTTACGCTCCACCGTTTTGGCGATTCTGGGAAATCTTTCGCGCAAATCAATCGGTATGTGCATTGAGAAGAAGGGTAGACTCTCCTCAATTCGGCCAATAGCGGTCCGTCGAATCGAGTCGAAACGATGACCATGGTCGGAAAACACGAATAGAAACGATTCCTCCAAAAGAAGAACTTCGACTATCTGTTATTGATAACCCAAAGAAAGTGTGCTTCTAGATCGAATTCTGTTGTTCACCAGCATTTCGATACGCCACCTACCGTTCGTTGACTTAATAAGACAGTTCTTCCTTGCTTCTTTACTATTCCATACTCTTGAGGATAATATTGCTGAAGGTCTCACCTTCACTTCTTCATAGTGTTTAATAAGAAAATTGGCAAAATCGTCATCGGCAACATTCACTTTGTTCATGTAGTCATGACCCAGCTCAGTTAACCAGTTCAAAGCGAATTTTGGTGAATCTGAAGAACATGGAGCTCAGTATTTATGCACATAAAACGATTTTTTTAAATCTAAACTTGTCTTTGTAAATACATATGTTCTGGCTTCTTTCATTTTTGGTAACACAGACATTTAATCCAATCAATATCTATCTTCTGAGCGTGTGCCACTTGTCATGAACACGTTGCGCAAGTATTCGGCAAGGGAATGGGGAGAAACTTTTCAGTTAAGCTTTCGTGGAGAACCATAGGTTCTTGCACAGCCGCTTACCTCGATATTTACGCAGGAATTGCGATAAATAGTTTAGTTCTATGTTATGCATCGCTTGATTTCCATAGCAAAGGAATTTACTTCTACGGTGCAAGTAACTACCGTAGACGTTTAACCAAAATGGCCTGAAAATCAACGAGGATTTGAAGATGACCATTGGAGCATTTCAGTCTTTGTGTTAGTTATCAGTGTGACATACCTGAAGTAGTGATGAACGGGTTTTTTCCTGAATCCCTTGGCTAGATAGTTGAACAGATTGAAGTTCGGATAATCTTCAGCATAATAAGTAGTGTAGCTCTAAGAAAGTTTTTTTCATTTTCGGTTATTTGAGCTGGAATTGGGGAAAAGAAGTGAGGATTCCGTAGTTACTGCATCGATTTGTCATTTGTTGTTTAAATTTGGAGACCATTAAAAAGCGCTGAAGTCGATTTTTACTTGGCTTCTCCTAGGTACGCTGTTCATCATAACAAACGTTCACTAGATTAGGGTTAAATTCTTATTTAGGCTAGAGGTAAAACCTACTAGTTTGAATTTGAATCAGAAAAAAATGCATTTCTTTGTTTATTTAGTAGGAAATTGGTAATTTACCTTGTTCTGAAAGTCCTTCCAAATGAGTGGGTGTTCATCGAAGAAACCTTTGACGTCCCCGAACTCTGTTTGGTAGTCCCGTCCTATGGTTGGCATTTTTAAAAGACGTGTAAGTGAATTAATGCGAACTTGACTGTTTAGTAAATAAATATTCCTTTGCATTGAGTTTAATGCATATTCTTTCTAGTTCATTTTTCTGCGAAAATTTATTCTCCTTAGTTTTCGTATGCGATTCATAACTTATCCAACATAAATGTTGTATTAAACGGGTTTAACAGAAAGGTATTTCCTGCACTTGATAATTGCCAAAGACCTTTTTGGACGGATTTCTCAGTGCACTTCGCGCGCGGCAAAAAATTCGTAGTCCTAAGCGACCTCATAAAAATTCCTTACTTGATGCTTGATACTTGAACGGCCCGTCCTCACTACTTGTGTAGGCCCCACCATAATCACTATTTTTTCGGAGATTCGCTAGCTAAGCCACTGTGGTTCCCTGGAATCCCGACGAAAACCTGGCCAAAGTCTACCCCAGGTCGTCACCACGACAGGCAGTGGCAGTCCTTGTGGATCAGAAGGAGATTTGTCACTATGCGACTTTGATACCAGGACGGTGACGGATCCTGATATTGGTTTAGTCTTAGCTAGGCTTCCTGATGGAAACTCCGAACTCCTTCTCAGCTTGGAAGACCCCGCCGGGGGACAAATCCCCCGCTGTACATCGCAGTCCGACACCCAGGAACACCTCCTAGCCACGATGAGGCGGTAAACCGTTGGCAGGCATACGAATTAAGGTCCAATCAAGTATGTGTTGGTAGTTTTTCAAGGGCATCTATCGGGTCATTCATTGATTCATAGCATACAAGTGGGATTATCCTAGTAGGGGTTGAGAGGCGTTGAAGAAAGCGAATTTGTTTGAATTTTTGAATGAGATCGTTTTTAGACAGAATCCGAGAAATGAAGGATTCTCTAGTCTTTTGTGAAATATGAAGATTTTCGGTGTATGGATTAACTACTTTCTAGAATTCTTGGAAAGCGATAAATAGGACACTTGAGAGCTTCTCCGTTACCTGATAAGCTTTTCTTTTTCTTTTCTTGAAAGCTTAGTCTCACCTGCGAGAAAGGCCACAGCATTCGGGAACGATTGGTCACCAATTTTGTTCATCCCGTCAAATATATACGATTTATATAATATTTTTAACACCTGTAACAATTCAGTAACCAATATTGCCTTCATATGTTGAATGGATCATTGCCGCAAATAGGTTTTGAATTTTTGAATTTGGTATAAATAGCTACAAGTTTCCTGAACTGGGAACATGAGAGCTTTGTTATTGCAGAGCACACCTATAAGTTCTCGATAAGTCATTTTCTGGCGATCGATTCCCTCCTTGGAGAGAATATCTTTATCTTATTGCTATTGATTTCTTTGACCTATTGACTTGATTTTTTACACTACTTTGGGCGTGAGTAGTCACTAATTTAGTGGATTTTGCAAATATGTTTAAAAGGAAAGAAATTTCTCAGGAAATAATAGGGAAAGTAATAAGTGTATGTTTTTTTGCGGTTTGACCGATGAACTTTACTATTAATGGTGAACCCGTAATGGTGAGGTGGCGAACGCGTTATTCGCCGAAACCGAAAAAGCTAACATTGTGTTCGATCCCCACCACGGACACCTGCGGTCCGGAGTTTTGCCAATATCCCAGCTCCATTGTGGTTGTACTATGAGATGGTTTAGAAACAATGAAAAATGAAACTTCATATTTGGTTATGACAACTCACGTCTAGACTTTTTGGCATGTTTCGAACAAAACTGGCATGCGATACCGAGTCGAGAACGATCAGAATCACACTCTTCACATTTGGACGTGCTCTAGACGAAGTGGTTTCGTGTTTAAGGATCTGATTGTGATTATTGCGATAGATGGTGATCCTAGGAAAATTCGTCCTCTCGCAACTCGTCTCCACGAACTCACATCCAGGTCGTACTGTGTCCTGGAACATGATGATAAGCTCATGCCTCTGTCTTATTTCTGGACGAATTTTCAGCTGAAGTGTGGAATATAGTTTTGCGCACATGTTACTACTGTTAAATGATGGCGTAATCTTGGTAATGCCAGTGTTTTCCGGTGATAGCTAAATCATGAAATCCTGAAAAAATGGTCAAGGGCCCGAAGACATCCTTACGTTAAATCGAACCCACTGGTCATAGTGAAGGTTGTCGTCGTCATCGTCTATTCGATCGTAACATCTGTAGAAGCAAGCCACATTGAGCCTGTTGTTGTTTACTGCGGTGTTGTTGATATGCAACCATTCCTGTATCGAAGTGCTTTAGTTGGTTTTTTTCATCGTTTGCCCATTACATATGTAGTTTGATTACATAGCCAAATAGTAGTTCCTTCTTAATTTGTAATAGTTAGAATTCGTCCCTGATGAAGTAAGGAAATTGTTTCCATCTTTTTTACTTTTCTCGAAAATAGGTATTTTATATAGAGAGCAAGAAAAATCCTAGGCAAAGCTACTATTCCTTTGACGAAGGCTTACCTACAATGACTTTAACGATTTCAGTGACGGGTTTAATGAAGTTTGTATAGGCGACGGAGAACATCATTATTGGTTTATGTGTGTTCTTTCTTACACAACAGAGATTTTTTTAAAAACAGAGAATTCTACAGGCATCCCATTAGTTGGCAACCAAAGTTCAGCATGCTTTTCTTGTTTTTAACATTTCATCAAGAAAAGTTTCTTATTTGACTCACGTCTTCCGATAGGTAGGTCAACTCATGCTGATCGCTATGGCACTGTAGCGCAGGCGGCTTCTTGATGAACTCCAAAATAGTTGGGTCGAACGGATTAGGTCGAGCTAATTGACAACCCTGGATTATTTCGAATTAAGCTGTGTTGGCTTAGAGTAAAAGCATAAAAGGAGCGCTCTTCGTCGTGCATGAGAGATGAACATTGATTCATTTTACTCGATTCAGAAGGTCATAAAGGTGAGTGAGAGCATATTCAGCCTATATGATGACTTGCAGTGATCTTTCAATAAATGCGTCAACTCTGGCGCCAATTTCCCGACTTCGTATCGCTAGTGTTTGGATTCTCTTGACTGCGGGATAGAACTGGCGACCATTTGTGTATTGTTGGACATCTTTAATCACTGCACTACAGACGCACACGGAAATTCTTTCTCCTAACATCGGTCCTATTTAGAGTAGTTTTGTTTTATTGTATTAAAAAATTGCTTGCTTACCTGTTCTGTAGTGGTCCTTAATCTTAGTCTTTGTTTACTGAGGAGGGAGATTGAATATTTTAGTACTAATAAAACAGCGAACAGGAAAGTTAGAATGCTAGCAGCGAACTTTCTTCTCCGCAACCACATCGTTATGTCGTCGTCGTAGTGGTGCTGGCACCTTGTGTTGATTTTTCCACCGAATCTGCTTATTTGCGAACTATAAGCGACTTGAACTGTTGTTTGCTGTAGCGATAGAAAAGTGCTGATAAACTTAGCCGGGGTTCCTGCAACAAGCTTTCTATTGTGGCTGACTTGTCGGCATGGGCTCGTTCTTTTCAGAGCCGCGATGATTCGAATCGAGTGTCTCTAGTAGTTAGTTTTTGCTTTGTCTTCGTAGACGTTTCTAGTCGAATCGAGTTGAATGTGACACGTTACAAATTCGTGGTAGAATCATTATGACTTTGGAAAAGTTAATAGTGCCGAAACGCTAGCTATAGTTTAAAAAAAGTTATGGTGACCTCGTGTTACCTTATCAGTGCAACGAACTATTGATTGTTCAGTAATGCCGAGGTTGAATGAATTTTAGTTTTCAGGAATGAAAGCAGCTTTAATATAACAAGCCGACGGCTTTTTCTTTATGCTAAAAGTACTTTCACTGATGAGAAAGCGTTATAGTTAAATTAGTTTTCGACATTGAGCCAGTCCCTCCATGGAATCTTTGTTTTGTAATCTGTCGAACACTCACTTAAATGGCTTCCCCATTTGAATCTTTATAGCCAGATAAGCCTCGACGTCGTTGAAAAGTGTGACTCGTGGTTTTTAAAGTAAAGAGAATAAGAATAATACGAGAGAAATCAAGTGGAAGGAAGGAATACTGAATAAATCGAACAAAGCGGAGGGTAGAAATGTTTTGAGAAGCAAAGGAATAAATTTTTAACGAGCCTTCTTTTCTGGATTTCTTACAACAAAACTGATAAGCGGATAACGTTCAGTCATTTATTTCTTGTAAACTCTAAGAGTTTGTGAGCTTTCGTTTTTTGTCGAGCGTTCCTATACACTCCTTGCCTTCGTATTTCAAATAAATCTGAATTGTTTTTTAGAATGTTTTGTCATGATAGATTAAGTATTGTTTGTACTGGAAAGTCTATTGACATATCTGTTCTCTCATAGATGAAGTAATGATAGGATAGCAACTTATTGAGGAATAGTGAGTGGTCTTTGAGAGGAAAGGATAACAGTTATGACCCATGTATCCTCCGAACTGCACTTATTTTTCATGGATTGGATTTTATCGATTATTTATTTATCTTTTTTAATTCAACAGGATGATTGGAGAGGAGAAAAAAAGGATCCATTGTTCACAGCGTGATGACTAAGTGAAATAATCAACAGCAGTGGTGCTTTAGACGGTTGTTGGTCTGGGAGATAAGGTTAGATAGTCCATCTTCTTATCTACGAAGATTGATGAAATTTTATCACCTTATTTACTCGTAACGGTTATCGAAGTAGATAACTACTAAACTGACGAAATCCAGAGAAAAAAGAGAAGCAATGGACGAATCAACTACACCTTATTTTAAGTTTTCTTCATCATTTAACCCTTATGTGACTACACATAACTTTATGTAGCGGACAACAATAGCCGCTTAGGACAACCCACAATATTTCGTCAGTGACGATGTGTATTTAAAAAACTCCTTTTGCAAAACTCCGGACCGTAAGTGTCTGCGGTGGAGAACGAATGCGCTATTACCCTTTCTAGTGGCTAACGCGTTCACCACCACACCACGAGTGTATTTCGTTTTGCCTTTCTCTCAGCTAGTTTTCCATCTAACAGTGCCATCAGCAATCACCCGTCAAAGGGATCAATCTGGGGAGCCCAAATTGTCAGGGAACCCAGTTAGTGACACAGTTAGATAAGATAGAAAACTAGCTGAGAGACAGACGAAACGAATGACCCGCATGGTGTGGTGGTGGACGCGTTAGTCCCCGGAAAGGCTAATAGAGCGTTCATTCCTCATGCAAACACCTACGGTCCGAAGTTTTGCAAATATCTCAGCACCATTGTGCTTGTATCACATATACTACCCTACCGTGAAAAACTGTAATAGGGAGTAAACGAAAAAAAGACATTTAGCCCTTCCTTTTATTGTAAACTATTAAATGTAGAGAATAACTTTCAACCGGCCGTCTTTGGCACATCTGTATTAAATAAGCTATTCACTGAATGAAAGCATTAGTTAGGCTGATGCAAAATTGGTAAAAAAGAGCATTGGTATCAACGCGTATGGTAACATATGTATTTATTTTCATTGCTTGAGGTTATCATTTAATAAGATACATTGTTTTCTTTATAAGCACACATGAGGTTGTTACCGCACTCTTTGTACGCAAAGGTTGATGTTTCGCAGGATTTCGACTTATTCAAAGCGTGAAAAGATCAAATTGACACCAATCTAATCAGTCAGAACACCTCCATGACCCCAGCAGAAGAAAGCCGAGGGTTTTTTTTAGTATCTAGGCTTCGTGATTTTTTTTGTTGGGGTTTGTGGAAGCGTTTGGGCAATTAGATTGGAGTCAACTTTATCTTTCCTGGCTCTGAAGAGAGCGAATGCTGCCGAAGCTTCAGCTCTTTTGTGAGCAAGGAATAAAGCTGAAACCTCATATGTGTTTATCGGAAAAAGACAGTGAGTTATTGATTGGTGCAGAGGTTGATAGCAAATTGGTCTTGGAAATTACTGCTTAGTGAGGTTATTTCTGCAGGTAAAAAATGTGAATAAGTGCAGGTATTGTACTGATTTTTGCTTCTATACTATTTTGTGTCTTTACTTGGCATTCAAGGGAACTTTTTTAAATGAAAAGTCAAAATAAAGTAGATGAGAAGGGACGGCAACAATAGATGTGAGTGTGACTACAGGTGTACGGAGACTAATGTTGACTAATTGCGGATTGTGCAGTACCGCTTAAATCTTTCGGGATCATCGGTCGTTCTATCGTCGGGTAGCCAAACTGGCTTTTTGAATATCTGATTCGCTAAACTCGTTTTTTTTTTGTCTTCTTATCTTTTATGGGGTCTCTTTATAGGGCAATATTTATTTATTTATATTTGATAGGGCAAGAAGTCCCTGTACAAGCGATTCTCTTGCTTTTCCTGAAAGCTCAACCTATACTGCAAAGGTTATAATCTTAGATAAAAGAAGGAGCTTTAAGTATCATCTCTTCCTACAGAGTTTAAGAGCCAAAAAAATAATTGCTGAGAAGACTTCAGTGAGCCACTGTAGGGGTTTCATTGTGGGAAGTGGAATGGTAGGTAACAGCTTCGACAAACGCACTTCTAAAGTCAGTTTGGTGTTAGCAAGGACTTTTCAACTGTCTGTCACTGTTATAAAGTAACTATATCTTGTATTAAATCTATGTAAAATGAATGTCTATCACAGCAGTCCTTTTTTTTCCTTTGTTTTATCATTTCGTCCAATTTTCATTCATTCTGTGTAGGTGAGAAGTTCTATAGCAGAACAAGCAAAATGAGAGGTAGAAAGTGTGGTAGACAAAGGAACCTGGTAGCAAACGAAGTTCTAAGGAATTCCTTTGTGCTTGTATATGAGATATTTGTTTTTTCTTTGTTTCTTCAACTTCCTTGTTTTCTTTGTTATTTTTCCTCTCGACTAATAAGATACATCGGGCAGAACGCAGGACTTTTCTTTTTTTGTTTTCGTTTCCATTTTTTCTTCTATGGTTTAGTATGGTTACTTAGAGTCCCACCATGTCAAGGAGCGCGTCTTCAAGGAGCGCACCGGTGCGTTCAACGATCGACAGCGACGTGGTGCTATGCGGAGGAAAATCCATGAAGTACGATACTCATTTTTTAAAAATATCGAGTTCTTCATTCCATTTTTCATTCTCATTCTTTTATTCCTATAGGTTACCGGTCACAAATTTATGGCGTTGTTCTTGCGTCAGCCGACTTTCTGTGCTCACTGTAAAGAATTCATCTGGGGCATCGGCAAGCAAGGATATCAATGTCAAAGTGAGTGGAATTTCTTATAGTCATAGAAATAACTTTGCCTTATTTAAATTTGTAGTGTAATATCGCTATTGACAGTGCGGCAGACAACATTTACTGTAGCTTCATATTAAAGAACGTCCTTTAAATCTGCTTCGTAGCCTCTTTTTAAATTTTGTGGTTTTTATTTATTCAAAGGCACCACTGCGTAATCGTAACCTGGTCGTCGGATACAATGGAGTGCTAGTAATGCTGTTACTCCTTGTTAAACTTTAGCTTTATCCTTTTACTCCATGTTAAGGGCCTATGCAAACCTCTGTAGACTAGGTGTGCACTCAATGACTTCAACGATACTTAATAGACTCAAAGATATACCGTGTCCCCTATGAGGTTAGTAAACACCTAACGCTTTCATTTGGAGTCGCCAACTAGAATTCCTGGCATATGCGATATAAAAAGGGAAAAGAGATAGAAAGTTCGGTGTTAATGTACCGCTTAACAATGTTGCATGCGTTCGGCTCCATCACTCATCGCAAAGGTGGTTAACACATAATTGACCTATACAATGACTTGCTATAACCTGCCATTGTATCAAACCAGTTTTCTTTATCCTCCCAGGCAATTCCTGTATCAATTATCCAACTTCGAAGGGATAGAGGGCTAGGTTAGCCCATGGGATCGAACCGGCGACGTTGTGTATTACACACCCTTAATAATCCACCACTAGTATTTTTACTCTCCACATTGCGTACGCCACAACGATGTGATACGTTAGTTTCCGTCAGCCAACTCTCTTTTGGCTATCTGAAGCAGTTTTCTGTTGAATGCGAAACAGCTTCTTTCCCAAGAAAGCTGCTAGTCAGTCGTTTTCACCATGAAAACTCAGATTTTAAACTGTTAAGGGGTTTCATGGCTCAACGGTTCAAATTCCGTTTAAGAAATTCCAAAAATCTCGTAGCTGTTACCGAAACGGGATCATCTATAGATTAAAACACTTTGAGAAGTTTTTGAACTGCATTCACTTCGGTGAGTGATAACTGGTTTCTCAAAATGCCTCTTTTTGGGCTATATTAGTGCGTACGTGGTAAGAGTTAAGCTCGTCCAACTGTGGGCTCACTTTTCTAGTCTGCACTGTGGTAGTGCATAAGCGATGTCACGAAGAAGTGGTGTGGAAATGTCCCGGTAACAAAGCAGATGCCGTGCAAGAGATCAGTAAGGAAGTCGTTGAGGTATGTTGACTCATTTTTCATCCACGAATCCTTTTATATTTGATAACTCTGCTATCCCTGCCATTCACCGTGTCGGCTGCCCACTTTATCGTTCAGACAGGATTGGGTCGGTTCAACATCAACATGCCTCATCGCTTCTCCGTTCATTCGTACAAGCGCCCGACATTCTGCGATCATTGCGGCTCGATGCTTTACGGCCTAATTAACCAAGGACTACAGTGTTCCGTCTGCAAGCTTAACGTACATAAACGGTAAGGATACAGTAGCTATGATCTCTCTTAAAACCAACTCCATCGTGCCCACCCCAACCCATTGCCGCTGGTGAATAGCTATAAAATCAAACCTTACACAAGTCTTTCTTTAATATTATTAATATGATCAATCACCAGTATTTTTACGAACTACACTTTGATAAATAAGGTACATTCGTGGAGAAATCTGTTGAACATGAACTTTGCTTGATCACAGTGGTACCAACTTGATAACTACTCGTTGAGACAGTTTATTAATGAAAACGAATATGCATATTAAGAAGAGAGGAAATAGCTAAGGATCCGCCCGTCTTCTGTTTTGTTTTATAACCAAAACATTTGTTTCAACGTCGTGGTAAGGAAACTAGAACTAGGAGAAGTGGCATAAGAAGCGTGCAATCATTTGAAAATAGGGTTTAATTGTGTATTAGTGAAAGTGCACTTGAAGTTTCCTATTTAATCGTACTTAATGGTTTAATTGCTGTGTAGTACATCTTCCTTTTTAAATAATAACATACTGCGATTACGTCTTTCTAAATTCTAATACGTTAGACGTGGAAACTCGTTACTTACCAGCTTTCTGGCTTAACGAGAAAGAAAACCGGCAGACGATGTTATTCTTCTTTTCAGCTGTTCCTTCCCAATTTTCCGGCCAATATCCTACTGGTTTACCAACGTTTCCGAAAAATTCTCTTTAAGCAAAATCAAAACTATCGATAAACCTTTTTGCTAGAATATTCAGAAGATGACATATTTAAAAATTTCAGTTTTAAATTTCACCCTTCTCTTCCTATCGATGGTATCCTTCTAAAAGTACAAATTTTCGGTGGAGTTCAGATGTCAACGGAACGTTGCGAATAACTGTGGCATCAACGCTAAGCAAATGGCCGCCGAGTTAGCACAGTTAGGTCTCACCGGGGACAAAATGAGTGTGCGCAGTAAAAAAAAGGTTATAATGTTTGTGAACATTTTAACGTGACTCATATTTTCAGCAAGTATTTTTTATTTCACTTTTTATTTGATACCGCCTTCACTGTTTGTTTTGAAATCTTATTTTAACTTTTTCTTCATTGTTTCATGACATTTTCAGCCATCAATCATGACCGATTTAAATGCTGACCAGGCAGGTAGTGGTACCTCTGAATCTGGTTCAGGTCGGACCTTTTCCTATTTTCATTATTTTAAGCACCAATCATGAAGGGCGCCGTGTTACACCGTGGTTGGAGGCGCTTCCAGCACACACAGGGGACCGATCCCCGCGCCCGTGGGTCACCAAGCCTTCCGTACCTCCGGGGTCGGCAAATTTGTACCAGACTTGTCTGGGAGGATAGCAGCAGTGGTTTGATACATCGGTTGGCCACCGAGAGTTGTTGTAAAGGCCAGATGTGCATGCAATAACCTCCAACAATGGTTAATGAAGTCGAATGCATAGCGCATCCCTTAGGCATTGTTCAACGCCGAGAGCTTTATCCTTGGTTAATCCTTGTAAGCCTGAATCTTTGTTTCTTTTGCTACCTTTTTCGCTCTGCGCTAAACAACATATTTCCAGCATATCTGCAACAAATTGCTGAAGATGATCAGGGGAAGGTGTCGAAACCAACGAGTGGCGACTTGTCGATCCAGGACTTTGGTTTCATTAAGGTCCTGGGCAAGGGATCATTCGGAAAAGTTGGTAGTTCGCCTTCTTCCATTAGTCTTTCCACAAACTTGTTTTGTGCATTTTTTCAATGACATTCCAGTTTTCTCTTTCCTTCTTGCAGTTGAAAATTCTGTTTAAACTATGACTTTATTAGTTTCGACGAAAATGTCAGTAATAATGAGGAGGAATGTAAAAGTACAATGATTCCCTGTTGCAAGGAAAAGTACTTCTCAGGTTTTCAATTCATCGTTGACAAAAGGCAATAAGCAATTTCTTTATGGTTCCAAGAAAAACACAAGAATTGTTGAAGCAGAACATTTTATAAGAAAACTCCTTTTTAAAAGTGAATACCGCTTGTAGGTGATGCTAGCCGAACGGCGAGGTACGGACGAAGTGTATGCGATCAAGATCCTGAAGAAGGACGTAATTGTGCAGGACGATGACGTGGAGTGCACGATGTGTGAGAAGCGAATCCTCAGCCTGGCTGCCAAACATCCGTTTCTTACCGCTTTACATAGCAGTTTCCAGACACCGGTGAGCGAAGTTTGCTTAACAGTTTTGTTCTATAATTCGTTTTATTCTGTATAGCGGAAGTTTTACTATTTCGTCTTGCCAGTTATTGTTAGTCTCATCGGCTGCCAAGAAGTTCAGTAGAAGTCTCAAGGGACAAAAATGCGCCACCCTTAGGAACATTGTGAAGAAAACCGAATCCATAAGCACTACAGATATCCTAAAAGAAATTTAAGGAACTCGAGTCATAATGGTAATATGCAGGAGCTTTCCAATTTTTAGTCTTATACTGTTAAATGGTGTCCATCCGACGAAAGAATAGTTGTCGTCTTCGTATTTTTATTTGTATTACGAGTACGGTGCTAGTTCGATTCCGCTGCGGGCGAATCAAGCCTTTCATCCATCCAGGGTTAGGCGCTGTAGTCCAACTGGTAACACTCCATCCCAGCTATCTCAGTACTCCAGGGAGAATCGACTCGACCAGCATTCTCACGTAAAATTGGAAGATTTTCGTGAACAGTGGATGCGAGGAAACGAATTGAATGTGAGAAGTGCTCGAATCCGCACATTAGATGACACATTAGACGGGTCATATAAAAGCAACAACAAAAAAGTTTGTATTACGGTCAAAATTTTCGATATTTTTCACCGAAGTCGTTTTAATTGCAGTGCGATGCTGTTTTATTTTAGGATCGGCTATTCTTCGTCATGGAATACGTGAACGGCGGTGATTTGATGTTCCAAATACAGCGAGCCCGAAAATTCGACGAGCCTCGTGCTCGATTCTACGCTGCTGAAGTCACCTGCGCGTTGCAGTTCCTCCATCGAAACGAAGTCATCTACAGGTCTAACTTTAATCTTACATGCCTAACACTACTGAAGGTTATAAATTATGCAATTTACATGTAGGCTTATAGTGAATACACTCATCTTTGGTAACCTCAGTGATCATTGTTAAGTCAAAATCTTTCTTTTGTATTATTGGGCTGGTTTTAACCCTACTTTTTCTCTTATATTTGCGGTCTTTCCTCCAACCAATGTCTCGCAATGAGCTCACCGATTTACTTCCTTCCCCTGTGCCACCACCACATAGTTTTCCACGGATATCCTTCATCTTTCATTCTTCGTGAGCTGTACAAAAATTTCCCAACCAAGATGTCACCCATGACCAACTTTCTGTTAACCTCGGCATTAATTGATAATTCAATGTTTTT